GCTGGTGTAAGAGAACGCGGCCGCTCCAGGTAGACTTTTGCCACCGTTTTTTCGTGTTGAGAGCGCAGCCCGTAGACGCTGCCGCCTGCTGTTGGGGCACAAGGCGCGCGCTGATCGTAGCCGCGATAGCGCGGCAACGATAAGCGCTCCCTCCCCCTTGTTCGCTGGCGAGATAGGCGCGCGCGCAGACGAGCCCGGCCGGAAAGGCAATGTTCGCTCCGCAGAAAGAGGACGCTAACGCATCACTCCCCGTATATAAATACATACACATACATGTGAATGATGACGGCGGCAAAAACCAGCCCAGGCTGTCCACATAATTGCTATCGCAATAAGACCAAGAGGTTCCGGCACTGAATCCTTTATTTTAGTGGCGCATTCATTTGAAAAAAATCTTGTAGACTTTTTTTTTTTCACCGACGGAACGTATCAGACGCCGCTATATGAACGTCTAAGCAACTGTAACGGAGTAACGTTGCCGTTACCGCGTAGAAAGCGTTACAGTCAGTTGAAGTAACGAATTACGTTCAGAAGTTACCCGAAAAAGGTAACTTGTGAGCGGATACACGTTACTAATAACGATATGATGTCTATGACTGCCATTCACACCACTGCTCGTACTTGCGAGCCGAAGATATACGCGCAATGGAGGCGAGTTTACAAGTGCGCATTTTCTCTAGACTCATCGTTACAACATGATATCCAAGAACTTCAACCGGCATAATACACTTGTTTGCTGCTGTGAATTAATGCAAACCCCGGCAGAGTGATGTAAAGCAAGCGCACAGAAAGTGCTATGTCACGACGGCACAGACAATGTAACTGTGACGAACGGCATGTTGGCTTGTGCCAGCAGCGGTTCTCGCGTGCATAGCAACCGTGGCAACAGTGTTAAAGCCTCTTTTATTGTGCTAGCGGACTGGGAGAGAACAGCCATGACCCAAGTATATACCGTAGCGTATAGTATTTACAGTGCAGGCAGCACTCAGAGAGCGGCTCTAGGAAAGCCGAGGCGGTACAAGGCGACCACAACTGCACCGCCGATGCCGATGTTGTGCTGCAGCGCGATGCGGGCGCCGGGCACCTGGCGCGGGCCAGCCACGCCACGCAGCTGCCAGCACAGCTCGGCGCACTGTGCCAACCCCGTGGCCCCAAGCGGGTGGCCCTTGGAGATAAGGCCTCCGCTCGGGTTCACCACGTACTTGCCGCCGTACGTGTTGTCGCCGCGGTCCACTAGCTCGGCCCCCTTGCCGACAGGGCAGAGACCGAGGGCCTCGTACGCCAGAAGCTCGTTGGCCGAGAAGCAGTCGTGCAGCTCGATCACTTGCACATCGTTGGGGGTGAGGCCCGCGCGCCGGAAAGCCTCCTGGGCTGCCTTGCGCGTCATGCTGAAGCCCACCATTTCGATGCACGAGTTGTCGGCAAATGCCGACGGCAGGTCGGTGGCCATCTGCATGCTTAGCACTTCAACTGCCTGCGCCTCGAGATGCAGCCGCCGCACCACGGCCTCGCTCACCAAGATGGCAGCCGCAGCGCCGTCTGACGTCGGGCAGCACTGCAGCTTGGTGAGAGGCCCGAACACCACGGGCGACTCGAGAATCTCCTCGAGCGTGTGCTCGTCGCGGAACTGCGAGTTCGGGTTGTGCACCGAGTGACGGTGGTTCTTCTGGGCGATCTTCGCCAGGTGTTCGCGCGTGCTGCCGTACTTGGCCATGTGCTCCATCCCTGCAGCGCCGAACATCTGCGCGGCCATGGGTGCCGGCGCCAGGCCGTGAGTGGCAGCCAGCACCTTGGCGTGCTTCTCAACGGGGTTCGCGCGGTCGCGGTACTTGGAGGTGAGCGAGCCGCGGTCCATCTTCTCGAAGCCCAGCGCCAGCACCACGTCGGACAGGCCACCTTCGACCATCTGCTTGGCCAACAGCAGCGCCGTCGAGCCGGTCGAGCAGTTGTTGTTGACGTTGTAGACAGGGATGCCCGTCATTCCCATCTCGTAGAGGCAACGCTGGCCGCACGTCGAGTCTCCGTACACGTAGCCACAGCAGGCCTGCTGCACGTCGGCGTACTCCATACCGCAGTCCTGCAGGGCCGCTGTCACGGCTTCCTTGGCCAGCACTGGGTAGTCACGCTTCTTGTCGCCCGGCTTGGCGAACTTGGTCATGCCCACGCCCACCACAAACACCCGGCGGCCGGTGCGCTCCGCTGCCATGGCCCTGAAAGGAGGTGCCCAAAAACAATGCGGCTGTCTCTTTCACAAGACATTTGAATATCGTCACCATTTTCAGCATACTTTTATGTCCCCCGCAGGACGAAGCCTCTCTCCAGTTTACCGTACTTCGCGCGAGCCCTAATTTTACCTTCCTCGGCTACATCTGCCTTCTGTCGCTATCCATTCGTCCAAGCAGAAAGATTTATTGCCCAGATGGTACAGCAGCTTTTAATGATGCCAGTCTCGTGCTACTTCTTTGCACTGTCATTGAACGGGCCATTATGAGAAGTTCTCCAGCGTATAGTTCACGAGGGTTTCATTCGAACAAATAAAAAAAAATTGAAACTGCGCAACGAATACAACGCGGGAGTATGGAAAACGCAACGCCACGGCCAACAAATCCAGGCCAGAACGTGCCGACCTAGATGCGGACCCGCCAGTCGAGTCCGTGCACTCGCAACGGCTTCCTAGTTTCCCGGCCACCGCGGAAACGACACTTTTTTCGCTGCTTTCGATTTCTTCACTCAAGTGCGCATGGTCCGGTGCACATGACTCCTCACCGTTTCACGTCCGCTCGGACTGGCTCCGCGTAGCACGTGCTGTCGCTTATTTGTGTGTGCCCTTTGAAGACTAGAAAAGCGATGCCTTGGGCAAACATTTACAGTCGGCAAGTGATCCTCAAACAGAGCAACGCCGCAAGCTTCGGGGGCACACTTCGAGCTTACACTTATGCACATATATATGGTCGTGGCGTCGGCGAAGTAGCGAGCACCTTTTAAGTACACAAATGCGGCTTGCGCCCACACATGCGCACCATTATATACGCTCACACATACATACACATATAAACGGCTCAGTTGGATCGAACAAAAATATCCATAACATCATCAACAACAAAAAAATCAGTGAGAGCAAGACTACACATGTAATGAGGAAAGAGACACATAAAATGAATGAATTGAACACAAAATAAATAACATCTTGTCAACTTTGTTAGTGAACAATTTATTACATCTCGGTATACAGTAATTGATAATTGTAGCAAATCAAAAAGCTTGAGTGCGCACATATAAAATAATTAAACTTCTGAAGGCTACAGTCGGTATTTCGTTGGGTCCAGGTCGGTGCGAACTTCCTGCATGTTTCATGATGCATATTTTAAATGACAAGTTTTGTTATGTTTTTTAAAGTCAACACTTCCCGTTCCTTTCGTAACACAGAAAATACATTGTCTGCCTTTGTGCATGTGTGTCGGTGTATGGCACAGCATGTGCGCTGTTGCTGTCCAATATCGGCGTGCAAAACGCTCACAGCTCACACCAACAGAGTTGTGTTTGGAAGACACAACTGCGAATAACTTTTACTTGTTGAGCACGCCAGTGCCGAGATAATCACGTTTCCTCGTGACTTGAGCACTTAGTCTCGGTCGTCTGTGAAAGTGAAAGTATCCACTGGCCTTGTAGGCTCAAAAACTTCGCCACGATCTAGATTTTCTTGCTTACAGAACACAGCATACCAAATCTTTTACGATACATAGGCACACATATCCTGTTGATAAGAGGCTCACAATAATAAACATTCTATATTCGTACGGAATGATATGATTCAGTATAATGATAGTCTGCATAGCCACAGGAAAGCAATGGCATCATTCTGGTCACAAAATGTTTCTTCGAGTAATGCTGAAGAGAAAAAAGAATGAGTCTTCCTAATAAATACCTTATTTTGCATGCAAAAGACACGCACCGAGAAAGGGGGAAGGCGCGCCGCAGCGTCATTTGCGCGTTTTCCTCGACAGACTGTTCAGTTCTCCTGACCGCTCGCTTGCGTCTGTCTGCCCTGGCAGCCAATTCCTCGCGAGCTAAAAACCACCATACCTTCCATGCCAGCCTTCGAACGCGATTACCACCGTAACGACGCCAATTTGATTTGCTTTCGCACACGCAAACAGAACACCGGGGTCAATGAATGACCAGAACTTGGAGCCGTCCTGACACTGAAGTGACGAAGTCCCAACCGAAAGCTTATACGCGTTTCAAATCAGCGCAACGTAAAAGATCGCACAGCCAGTCCCTAGCTACTAGACGGACTATGTTCCAGCTGCCGAGAAGATAAACAATACAGCCGCGGGGGCCGCTTGAGCTTCATGCGTTTTCTTATTTTTATCGAGGCGAAACAAGCGCACGCTTGTGCCGCTTTTCATTCGGGTCGATGTCCTCTAACGCTCAATAACGCGCCGAAACAAGCGTAACGCACGCTAAATAAGACTGGGACAAAACAGGAGTCAGAAACACAAATAAACACAAGCGTTTGCAATCGGTAGTCGAAGTTTTGCCAGTCGTCGGCTGTGGTTTCTGATCCAACTTTAAAAGTTGCGCACGTCGATAACACGGTGGTATTTCGCACTCACCTCTCTGATGCTGCGCCACTGGATCTCAGCACTGGTGCTTAGTACGACTGTCGCTAACTTAACGCCCAATAATCGCAACGTTGACGCGAACGTCACCGCAGCCGTCCAGAGTTCGGAAATGGGGTTAGCGGAGGGTCCACTGCTTCCAGCACGGTGAGAGAGACCGAGTGAGCGATCGAGAAGAGGAACGTATTCAGTGGCACGGAGCGGAGAGGAGAAAAGCAGGCATAAAGGAGTTGAAAGAATGAGCGAGAAAAAACAACAACAAAGCAAACAAATTGTAAGTATTAAGCGTTAGAAACGCATAAAGTTTATTATAAAAACTACACTACTTGTCGAAAGTGGCATTTTAAAGTAGAAGTTGAATACGTGAATAAGGCCTCAAACAAGCAAGCATACAAACATGGCGATTCACACCAGTTCGGCGTGCTCGGCGTGTGTGCGGCGCAGCGTTTGTCGTGTAACTTCTGTGTTGCCCTTCTCCGTGGTCGTGTGAGGTTTCTTTTTCTGGTCGCACTGTGTAGTATTAAGGGTGAAGTGTTGCTGCAAGCCAAAGTCGTCGACATCATGGCCAACGCGTCGCTGCAAACGGTGACGCACGCCGCGGAAGCTTTCCAAATGTTACGAGGCATTTTCTGCGTCTACAAGCCTGCGAATATTTCCTGCGCAGCTGTACGGCAAACTCTCATAGGAAATTTATGTCGGGGTATAAATTGATTTCCCTTATGATATTACGATGGCGCTTTCTAACGTTAGTGTTACAAGTACAGCCCGAATCATACTTGTCTGGAGTGGTCAAGCGTTCCGCTTTGGCAAGTGCTTTTTTTCTTTTTGCAACAAATAAATAAAACAAGCACTGACTAACGCCGCAGTGAAATCACCCATGATTATGCAATAGGCTAGGGACTTGCGCCTATGCGATAAACGAGTGGAAGAGTGAGACAGCTGCCGTCGACGCTGTTGTCGTTCGCTGCTGGCCACAGGAACACTTTAACAGACAAGTGCGATTCAGGCTGGTTGTACAGTCGCGCTAAATATTTTTTGCAACGCGCTGTCTGTACGCAAAATGGTGCAAACACTGCAAAGTGGCACCTAAATAGAAAAAAAAAAATGGGCTGAACTCTCAGCGGTACCTTCTGAACCAGTTTAACGCTTGTCGGCTGCATTTTTCAGGCTTAGGGTCACTTTGACCACAGACAGCATGTGTCAACTCACATTGAACGTGACTGTGCATGTTATACATAGCGTGGTGCAAATTAAACATTGCACCATGCCGATTTCAAGTGTAGTTCAATGTGTCATGTTGCAAATCTTCGATCGAGCCAAAGTGCCGTGCTAGTCGACTTAAGCTGCTGAAGTACCCGTGCACAGGGCATTATTATCTATGTGTAATAGTGTACCACAAATAAGACATTATTGTTCGAAGGATAAACTTGTGCCAACCTACCATAAACTTTCTGGCAAACAGTTTTGAATAATGTTGCTGTTTGATGTGAAGCAAACTGTCAACATGTGTACACGGAGCAGTCTCCCTCATATTTTACATAGTTGCTTCATTTGACTTCCGCGTTATGTAACTGCATCTTGCTGGATGTTTGCAGTGGCTATCACACTGCTAAAGGTAAACTGATAACAATATATTTTAAGTGGATAGCAGACAAAATTTTTCTGTGTGAGGGAAAGTAGCACCGCATGATTAAATCCTTCATATAGAGCTGCAAAATAGCAGTGTATTGTTTGTAATTTTTGGTGCATAACCCAGGATTTCACTAGTGAAGTGTTTATCATGTTAGAAAGTTTAAATTCTTTGTTAAGAGAGATAAAAGCCTTCTGATGTGTACAAAAAAAAGCAAACAACACATGCTTTGTGCATGTCAAAGGTTCTCAATTCTTAATTATTGCGTACACCACGACATTGATATTTAATTTTTAGTAGTTCCATGGTTGCAAGTGGCACTAAACTGTAACACCTCTTTTAATATTCATTCACACTTCCCATTGGTTGTCCCACCTAAGCTTTTGTTCCTCAATTCGTCATTCAGATGGCCTACTATCCTTAAATTAACCATAGTGTATATAATACAAAAGTAATGCAGCTTTTTACTGCTAAATAGTAAAAATTAATACATGAACTATAAATAACACATAATTGAATTCTAGGTATATAAACGTCTGCTGCAAGAAAAAAATGCACCTAGCTGCACAAGTATTAGGATTAGCTGTAACAAACTGGCAACTTCAAGTAAACAAAATTAAGATATTTTGGTTTAAAAGAGCTTCAGTTTTATTTGCTCCAAACAACCTGCCTTTTAAGAAAATGTGCACAAATACCCTTTCTTAATTTGCCTTAAAGAGGTTTAGCAATACTTGTTTTAATATTTGTTGCCTAATTAAGTACGGCTACAAAACAGCAAAGGTGTAGGTGTAAAGAATGTAGGAATTTGAAGGGAGCATCACCACCTACGTTTTCATGCATTTTTCTCACCTTACCAAGGGTCTTCTCGCTGTAAGAGGGGTATTTTCGGTATGAATTAGTAATATACTAATGCAAAAAAATCATTTTACCCTTTAAAATTTCTTTTAACAGAGGATTAGGTGCCATCTTTGTACTATTCTTGGCAATACTTCCTCATCTTAAAGTTGATCATTTCAAAAGTCACTTTTGTACCCACAGCAGGTGTGTATCAAACCTTGATTGCTGCTTCAGAGCTGCCTGCTGCTCTAAGATGTGATGATGCAGTAGAGATTGCAAAGGAAAGCATGGAGGTACAAAGATGCCTTCCTGTAAATGTGGAAATAGCAGGAGTTGCTATGGAAGGTGTTCGTGTTGAAGCATGTCTGCTTTGCATTAGAGCCGGGCACCTAACATGAGCATAAATTGGCAGTTTTCGGTTGTGTTAATGAGCAGCCATGGTGCGAGAAGAAATATTGTCAAATTGTCTCCCTTTAAAGCCACCTCTAATTGAAGCTCACGATCGTGGGAGCAGTTCGTCAACATTGTGACCGTCCAAGCTATCGGTACTTGCTGTAGCGTGAAGTTTTTAGTTTTTGTCATGTGTTCAATTCCTCGAGCTGTCTTTGCGCTTGTTCAAAGTGTTGATGACGTTCATGGCTCAATGATGGTAAGCCTTTGTTTCAAGCTTGAGATGCTGAACAGTGAATGTATTGAAGTACTATCAATGACTGGCCAACAATACAAAGGCAAGGGCCCCTCAAAGGGTACATTTATGCCAGCAAATCACCTCATCCCTACTGTCCCTCTGCTTTTTCTTGATGTCCATATAAAGGCTTTTGCCTTGTTTAGACACATTAATTAGAACTAGCTGTCAAGAAAGCCAAGAAAAAGCTGTCTGCTAGTTCTAATTAATGTTGTGTCTATCAAAGTAAAATGAGCCCTTGAAAAATGAATCCCCTTCTTTTGCCTTGTTTAAGTACTTCATTACTGTTAAGCTTTTCAGTTTACTGGGTGAGCCTGTTAATTGTCAAATATTAATCATACCCATATCTATGGAAAACTAAACTGGGAAGTTCAGAATTTAGTGGTGTGAGATACATAAGGGAGGGAGGAATTTGGCACTGAGATGTTTGTGGCAAGGAATTGCAGACATTATTTTTATACTTTCTCAAATGACTTCTTTGGGCTGTGAATTGTCTTGATGTAATGCAGGACTGACAATATTGGCAGCTTGTTCATGTGGTCTACAACCAGGGTCAACACATTGCTGTCGAGTACCTGGAGCACGCACTCTTTTACCTGAGTGATATTTTTATAGGAACTATGTCTAGTTACTCAGGAATAGAGAGTAGGTGCATAAAATTTTTTCAGGCAAAATTTCTTCTGCATTTGTGTCCTGTCACTAAGTATGGGGCAGAACAGCTGCTAGTTGAGTTTTGAGCACTTCTAATGCCACCCAAATAACTGGCCATGTACAAATATGCATGAGAAACTCTGCAAGACAACAATAATCATGAATTGCACTTCTCCCACTATTTTGTGGCAGACTTGACAAGGGAGGCACAAAGGGAAGTCAAGCCATTTCTGGTTTAAATTAACATAGATGTAAGGCATGTATACATTGAAACTGAGCTTGTGCAAATTAAAGGCCAGTCGTAACAATACAAAATTGAACCACTGGATATGATCACTCCAATCACATTGGTTTCAGATCAGTATAATGGTGAACGGTCCAGGAACAGTAGTGGGTTTAATCAGAAGTGAAAATAGCCTTGTACAGGAGCTTTTACGTGGACTATTATTCTTTTAAGACGGTTAAGCATCTGTAAAAACAGGCAGTGTCCATGATCTATTGGTGCAAGCTTTAAATGTAGTTTTCCAGCTGTGCTTTGAGTAAGTGCCAATAGGTTTTGATGTGATGTCAAGGTAAAAGTAATGAAAGTCTGGTGAGAAATGTTGGTTTGGGGTAGGTGTATGCTTGGAATGTAAATAGGACAGGGCCATGGATAAGGTTAGTATGAGTAAACACATTGAGCTATGTGCTCTTTGGGCATCAGACTTATGCTCCCCTCTGATTCACTGTTGCCCCTTGGACTGATTCAATCAAGTTTCTTGGCTTCTTTTGCACCTAGGCCATCAATTTCCTGAGGTACAGTGGTTCGCCTTGCAGACCCATTCTCAATTTCTTGGGGTACAAGGCAAGATGCCACATAACAGTGTCACCATGGCACAGTTCATCTTTGAGCCTGCAGCTAGTGGGCGAAGCCTACAATATCACAACTTCCACATCCTGCAGTTTTTCATGTGGAAACATGCAGCTTTTCTGAATTACAAAAATTCTTACTTTGCTTGAAAGTCTGTGATAGCCGACTGCTGTTATCTCTATTTGTTACTGTTTTGTATCTGCAGACCAAATTGTAGGCTGATATAAACTCTGATAAGTCACTGGTAATGCTGTTGCTTTTCAGACCTTAACGAGATGGAAGTGCGACCCCCGACAGACTTTGTCTCTATCGAAGGGTCTGTGTCTAATGGTGCACAACTTACTGTGAAGTCTTGCCCAAGTTTTGCAGACCACCCTCTGAGTAAGCACGCCTTGTAATCAATATTCGAGTTATTATTTGTTCTGTTATTACTTGTTCTGATAGTCATCTCTACCTCTTTCTTCTTCGTTCTCGCATTATTGTAGTTGTAGGCCCTAGGTACCAGCCTGAAGATTTTAAAATGGTCCGTGGTATAAAACTTGGAAAATATACTTCTGGAGTGTTGTGTAAGTAGCCAGTCTTGAAGTCTCTTGCCCTCTTTTACTGCTACAGCTACCATAAACGTAGGTTGCTCCTATGCAAATATAGTCATTCAAGCATTAAGCTCAGCCAGTGCAAAGATAGTGTGGCATAATGTGAATGGCAGACGAGGAGGTTCAATATTTTAACCCTTTTGTTTCACTTTTGCTAACAAAAAATATTATGCTGTTATTGCATGAGTTGTAATATTGCTAGTTTTTAAATGCTGTCTGTTTTCGCTTTGCATTACATTTCAATATTGATTCTAGTTTGATACTTGGGCTTGTACATACTGTTGTTATCCAGTATTGATAGTTGTGCTCTTTATTTTGCTGTATCATAACAATGTTATCTATTACATAATAAACTAGCTTTCATTCAAAATGTACTTTGTATTATGTCACTGGACATTTGAATTTATTCTATGGTGCTACTGTAGTCTGTGCTATTAATAAGTTTGTAAAGTTTTGTAGACCCCCCTTTGTGCTCTTTAGAAAGAGTGCAGAAAAAGTTAGTTGCTGGTGTGTCTTAAACTGCTTGACATTGTTGGTACTGGACTAGGACTGAACTTTGTTTTTTATGACTTGCATGCAGGCACTAGGTGCACGTGCTTTTCATATGGACAGCAGCACCAGATCACACAGCCTAGTTTTGCAAAGGAAGCACATCTTGCTAGAACAGTTGCATGTTTACAATTTCCTTGACCCAGTATTTGTCACAATGTCCATGATCTTATGGTCTGGGTCAGGAGTGGGATTTCGGCATGCATTGGACATTTGATTGGACAGATGCTCCTGCCAGCTGTGACCATATGTATGTGTTTGAATACTGCCGTGAATTTGGCAGCATTTGACTTGCTACGTTCAGACAAGGATAACGCATTAGACAAGTGTGCACCTGTTCATGCTTAGAGTACTAGTGTTTTATTTTAGTCTTAACCCAAATGGTTGGCATGAGCAAACCTTGTAGAAAGCTGAAACAGTTGGTAACACTATCTGGCTAGCACTTGGTGTCTATTAAAAGTGTAGTATGTTTTATTTCAGTAATGAGGGTCAATGGAGGCTACCACAAGATCAAAAAGCTTTGCGATTCCAACCAACTTCGTACTTATGAGCTCCGAGGAGAGTTTGGAAAGGCATCAGATACGCACACACCACTTTCAAAGATTGTTGAGAAAGCAACATATCGTAAGTAACAACATCCTCTTTAAGCATATACAAAGAATTTCAGTGCTAAATACATTAAGCATTTGCAACGGTTTATTGTCTGCACTTTCTCTTGTAGGTGGCAGGCTTTGAAAATGCTTTTTTTTTGAAGAACTTGCAGCACAACTTTAGCCAACTACAACAAAATTTTGCACAATGTATAAATTATAGTTTCAGTTACGTATACAGCACTTTCATTACGAAATTTAGGTTTTCTTTGCAAGTATATGTGCCATGAGAAGCTTCCAAAATAAATGTTTTACCAATACGGAAAGAAAATGAAAAATGCTGCCCTTAACATTTGCTGAAAATGTTGGAGAGCATGAACTCTGTTGAAAACAAGAGGGAGGCATGGGGCATAACCTCTAAGCTGATGTGGCATTTATATGCTGGAAGTCTCAAAGGTCATTGTGCGAGATTTATGTCATATCTGCTAAGCACCAGGTACAACCATAGTCATCACAGATTGTTAAGTGCGTTAGACATTTATGAGCCCTGCAATATTACCATTGCTGCTGCAGAAGTACACAATACTTATTTATAGTCAGTTCACCTCAAGTGGTATCGTAAAGAACTAGAAGCATGCTATGGTAGTGGCATATGTAGCATATATTATCTTGCCCTCCCAGGAATGTTATATTAAAATATGATGTTAGTGATTGAAACACTTTCTTAATCTTGCAGTTTTTCCTTGCCTACGGTATGTTTTGGTATTTATTAGATTATTCAAACAGGTCAATAAGACAGTTGAATCCAACTTTTTTTGAACAAAACACATTTTAACCATTTTGAAAATATTTTCTTTGCTATACTTGCACAAAAACAATGGGATATTGGGGATCTTGTTTCTGAATTACCTGCACTGATCTACAGCCTCTTTGATAAAGCTTTAGTCATAAAAACTTTGTATAAGCCACAAGTAAGGATATAAATGGGTTAAAAGTAGATCCAACAAATTTTTTTATTGATCTCATTAGTGTATCGCACGTGCTTATATTCTGTTTTGAACCTCTGATGTTTTTCCATGCGTGGAACGTTCAAAAGTGATTGTCTTGCACAGAGGTAGAGAAAAAGATTATTTACGAATCAGCCGCTAAACAATCTGATTTTAGCTGATTTCTTTTGTAGATACTTGGAAACAGTTGTTATTTGTCAGGTGTCGGCTTTCTAGTATCAAAATTTCAACGTGTTCAAACTACATATATGTTTATTTTGTAACACTATCCTATGCCTGTTATGAAGCCAATACCTTGCACAAATGACTCTACATTTCTCACCACCTGTGGCTGCTGAAGGATAACCAATGATGAAACTAAAACATTAATAGAAAATTACAGAAATAACTGTGTTTTGTGCAAGTTCATACACTTAGCTTTGTTGATAAAGCAACCATGACAACAAATTTTTTAGCTTGAAATATATATACAAATTAGTACCACACACTTCCAACAGCACGATTTCATTGATTCAGTACTGCAGAACATTTAATTTGGATATTTTCTATTTCAAGCCTGATCGATAAGCATTCTGGGGACACCGAGTGATGTTGAAAATAACTGGCAGCCCTGGAAATGGTTTTCTCGGTTAATAAAAGCCAGTCTTGAAGGCTGTGCATTTTTGCTCTGCATGCACCAGAAACAATTGTAGGAATTCGAAATATGTTATACAGCTCGTGCATCGTTTTGTTTTGGCATATGCTTCGCAATACTTTTATGGAACTTATTGCAGACCAAATAGTAGAGAAACACCTTTGCTGCATCACTGGTCGCCAGAGTACATGGAGCAAGACAGAATTTCAGATCAGTAGTGGTCGTTTCCTGATATGGCACAGCCATGCGAAAATGGCAATCGCTTCCAGTGGGGTAGGATTAGGCAGCGATTTCAAATGCCAAAAAATTTGAGAGATATGCCGAAAGGCTTGTTTTGTGTGTGTGTGCATGCGTGCGTGCGTGCATGCGTGCGCGCGCGCAATGATATTGGACCCTGTGCTCTCAGTTGGACTAGAACATTTTAGATTGTCTGCAAACGTCCCACCATTTGCTGATTACCGGGTCACTGGCAATGTGAAACTGAGTAGTGGCTGGGATGGTGGCACGGAGCGTAACACGAGAAATACAGAACTATGATTGCATTAGGCATATAGACTTTATTTGACTGTTAATGTTATTTTTTTGGTGTGGTGTAACCACGATGATGTCGCCTTCTTAAAATGTCCTTCAGAAAGCATTCTTGGAGGACAAAATATTTGTCTAAGACATCGCAGTTAAATGAAATGTCACAATACATCGCTACTAATGTCTAGTCACTCATTATTCTGTAGATGCTGTTGTTTGTGCCCAAATAATGGACATACAAAAACTATATGTTGAAAACAGTTAGATGGAATGTCTACCAACCTGCTAAACCTGGCATTGCCAGGGAATTCGGACATACCTGGAAAGTGTGGGAATTGAGGCTGGCCCGCTGCCTTTAAGCGGGCTTTCCCGCCTTTTCTGCCGTTCTCATGTCCCGACATGTCTGCCCTCCTTGCTGTCTGCCGCGCTGGGAAGGGCGGAGTGACGTTTAACTCCCTCACCCGGAAGCGGATGTGGACTGTGGCGCCGCGCGCGGGGACTCGCGAGAGGTTTTCGCGGGCTGCGCCGGGAGCGGTCAGATACTCTCCGGGACAGCAAACGGTGAGCCACGCTATCTTTTCGTCCGTCGACTCCCGTCAGTCGGGGGCTCGTCGGACTTCGCTGACGGCGCCTCGCGCCCAAGGCGAACGCTCACCCGCTGTTTGCCCCGCTGCGTACGCACGACCGAAGGGCGGTACAGTGTCCTAGTGCGTGGCCTCGCTACGCCGACCCGTCTCCCTTCGAAGCCAACGCGAGCGCCTTTGCCCTCGCTCGAGCAACCGGGCCTTTGCTCCGGTGTCTCCGTGGATCGGCTTTACCGCGGAGACGTGCTCGTGGCACCCCTGTGTAGTACTTTGTGCCCGTGGCGTGGATAAGCCTACTTGCTTTCCCGCCGCGCCTATTTGCAACGGGCTGTACTGCGTTTGGTGTTGCCACAATAAAGTGTTGCGACGTTGAGCAGTATCGTCTTTCCCGCCACGGCGACGGTTAACGCGTGCCCTGCGGCTCGCTAAGACCGGACCCACGCTGGTGGCCGTACTCCTTCGGGATACGTGTACACCACAAAAGTCAGGAAATTGTCATGGAATTCTCGAAAAACCATCTTGGCTCATGGAAACTGACAGACGGCAGTTTCTTTGACCATCATGGAAACAGTCATGATATTTTATCAAAGCTTATGAAGTGGCTTCTTCGTCTGCACTCACAGTAAACCGCTAAGCATACGTAAGCGTAAAAGAATGGCAGTGCATAACTGTTGCTTCAACAGATCACACAGCATCGCTCACTTTTCATGCAGCATGTTTTTCAGACCAATAGATTTGTGCTTGTTGTGTTTCCTTCCAGGGGCGTTGGCAGAAATTGTTTTTTGAGGTGGGAAGGTTGGAGGGTTAAACCATACTTTACATATGCATTTGCATGTGTGTGTGTGTGTGTATAAATGCAAACAAAATTGAAAACATTCAGGGGTGGGGATGCCCAGTGTTGTACATGCTACCGGAAAAAAGTAACTAAATATGTTACTTGTTGCTGAAACAAAAAAGTAATGCGTTACCGCCCTTACGTTACATGCACAAAAAGGTAACGCATTATCATTATCGACAAAAAGTAGCTGTCGTTACCACTGCTGTTACTCCGCAATGTTAAGTTTCAATCAATGTGTTTTTATTGCAGGAATCCACAATGGTAAACTTTAAATCTCAAATTTTTTTCACATAAAACGACTAAGCCATACCCAAAATGCTCAATTAATGAGTACTATTTATACAAACTTTAATGCCCCGGACTTTATCAACTAATGTTGTAGTAGCTTAAGGATGCCTGCAGAGTTACATGTGATAGCTTTTGTCTGTGATACATGGTGAAGCTATTTTTCTCTGTGTGACATTATATGCAATATTATATTCAGTCATCCATGCTATCCGCAAAGAAAGCGTCAGTGAACTGAAGAAATTTACAGTAATTGGGCTTTCTCGGGTTCGAACAGCACCTCCAGTGTAGATCATTGAAATCGAAAGTGTTGGTCTTGGGCCTTAGGCATCCGAAATTGCCCGCCACAAGCCAGTAGGAAATCACGGAGGTCTGAATTGGCGTCGTTTTTTTTGGGGGGAGGGGGGCAGCGAGAAACATTCGCACATTTGTGACACTAGATGTCTCTTGGTCCGCAGCTGTTGCGTTTTGGCCACCAAAGGTCATGCGCAGTCTTTACGTACTCGGTAAAGTGGTCCTTTACTTGCTTTGTAAGGTGAAAGACCACATTGATGGCGGGCTTGTACTAGCAAAATAGATATGTAACAGTAAAGAAATGCTTTAACGGACCAGTCAGGGAAATAAAAATCGGTGCATGAACATTTTTTGTTCTCATTAATCTGTATATTTAGCACAAAAATTTGTGAGTGTAAGTCAGGGTGTTCAAAGTGAGCTTTGCTCGCTCAGAAGTTCATTTACCAGAAACGTAGCTGCCTTTGCAGAGAGAAAAAAGGAAAATTTGTTTTCAAAACGAAGTTGATAATTCTTGTCAACTTTGTAGCAACTGCTGGGCAGCAACTATCACAAAATTTTGTTTATGAATACATTTTTCAAAAGCACTTTTCTTTACTCTACAAGTTTCAGAATGTTATTTTACTTTTTGTTGTGCATACATTTCATACACAAAATGTTTTCTTTGTGATGGTGACATTTATGTACTATATCATCGTGAACTGTTGGGAATAACGGATAATGAAATTTGTACCCGCCACTTGATTGTGTTCAATATTTTCTGCCTCCTGAATTAGGCTCTAAAAAAAACTTCTTTTCGAAATACCGGGTGGTACCGTATAAACCGGACTATAGGTCGAGTGGGAATATAGGTCGACTCCCCAAGTTCTG